CTTTATTTATTTGGAACCAGTATTCTTTCAATATATATACAGAAGCTTAAAGGTAACAAGTATAGGCCCATGCAAAAGATTTTCTGCATGGTTGTGATTAATTACGATCCATTATATTGTCTTGGAAATCTCATACAAAGACTTAAAATACTAAATAAACTGTCATCTAGCACCTTATTCCTATTGAGATTATTACTTTGATTACAATATAAACCTATGTGTATTGATTTACCCAACTCTCATCATCTAAAGACTGAGTCCTCTATTTTCATTATTTTGTGCCACACTTCAAAAATCTCAGAAATGAAAAAAAAAAAATCAGAACTGTTAACTCTGAAATTCTTTCCTTCCAAATTAGTGGCTCACATTTCACTGAAGTTGTTGGCTCTGTTGAAGTGCAGAACCATTCTGCACAATCTACTCCGTTTGCTGTCATCCACCAGCACTTACAGCTGAGTTTTCAAATCCTTAACTCTTTCAAAGCTTGATCAAAGGGTAGTTTTTAAAAATCCTATTTGTGTGTGTGTGTATGTGTACATGCGCACATATGTGCGCCTTAGTATGCATGTGGAAGTCAGAAGAAACATGCAAGAACAGTTTCTCTTCTGCCTTATGGGTTCTGACAAGCAATCTTCAGGCTTGTTGGTGCCTTTTACCTGCTGAACCATCTTGCCAGCCCTTCATCAGGGTAGTTCAATGTCAATGAGCAACTGGGAATTGCTCTGAATTCTGCACTGAGTTGCAGTATGATTCCTACAAAGCACAAATACATACTTATATGGAGGAAAGTATTTTTTCAAAGGGAACTGGGAATAGTGGTTCACATGCCTAGTTTCAGCATTTGGAGGCTGAGGCAAGAGGATTGCTGAATTTAATTAAATCCAGCTGGAACTAGAGATTAAGACCCTATCTCAAAGTTAGATGTGTTGGCAAAGTCTTGCTTGTTTTTTGATAATGAAAATGATTTTTTGACAATGATAATACTGTCAAAGATTAACTAGTCCTGATACAGATGGCCAGAAATACCTTTTTCTTTTGAAAACATGGTCTCATGTACCCTGTTGTCCTTGAACTCATCTTTCCCTTTTACATGCTGGGTTTACAGGCATGTGCCATCGCAGCTGGCTGGAATATGTAATTATTCATTCAAGAACCTGTACTGTGGATTATTAGAAGGGACAGGACGATAGCTACTTGAAATAGCTACTTGTAAATTTCCATCATACCAGATTGTTCTCACACTTTGAAATTCTGGCCAGTATGTACCCTAACTCACAAAAATCCCTTTGCTGCCTGCCTCAAGGGGGCTGTGGTTCTTAGACTCATTATTACTTGGTTGTTGACACTTTGTTTTTGAAGTGGCTATATGATCTCTGGACACAAACAGGCTGTTCTGTGAGGAGAGTAGTGCTAACTATTCATATTTTAAAGTATTTTTTTTTTCTGGTGGTAGGGATTAAATCTAAGTTATTATGTATGTTACTGCTATACTTCCGGCATTTGTTTGTATTTTTTAAAAAAAGATTTATCACTTTTTTTTTGGTGGGAGACAGGTTTCTGCATGTAACCCTGGGCTGTCCTGGAACTCAGATATCTGTCTGCCTCTGCCTCCCGAGTGCTAGGATTAAAGTCCACCACCACTACCTTGCTCATTACTTTTATGTATGCAGGGTACCTCAAAGAGGGGTATGTACCTGTGTATGTTTCACTGAGTAAGAATACATATTGCCAAGCCTGCTGACCTAGCATGCTTAAAGTCCTGGGTTAATCCTAAATGCTACATATACCATGTATACCACGTAATCCCAGCAATAGGGAGGAGGGGGAAAGAGGATCAGAAGTTCAAGGCCACCCTCATCCATACTGAGTTTAAGGACAGTAGCCTGAGTTGACACTTGGGATCCTGTTTCAACAAAACAAGTAAAATCAAATACAAAGAAGATATCATTTTAAAGAATAGTGATTTATTGAATAAGTCTTATTCACAGAAAAATATGCTTTAATCTACAACAAATGCCAGATTATAGGGCAGAAAACAATTTTCATAAATTTTCATTATGAAAGGAAATTACATGAAAAAAGAAGCCATAAAATGACATTCACAAATATAATATTCTGCCCCAGAATGCTTTACATAATTATTCACAACACTAACATAATGACCACAGAATTGGTCCTTTTTTTTTTTAATTGGTCCTTCTTTCAGGTGAAATAGAATAACAAAAAAATGCAAAAAAAAAAACAAAACAAAACAAAACAAAAAAAACCAGAAAATACACTAAAGCAATTATTACATCAAATTAACAATGCAAGTTTATTGGTATAGACAGTGATAAAATACACTTACACAGTAATCTTAAATGCTACATTAACAATACATAAGCACATAGTAAATGCCAAACATTTGTACTCACTCACATCTACAAACTTCAGCCTCCAAAACACAACTTCACCACTCAAGCATTAATGTCATATTGTTTAATTTCAAAGTATCAGAGGTTGTCCTACTGTATCAATTATAAAGCACCAGTCAATGTGCAGTGAAAATTAGAGCACAATGAAATGAACAGCTGAAAATTAAACATCTGAGACTTTCCAGACAAGTAGCTGGTATGATGAGGTTTTTCAACTTCAAACTATGCCCTAGTAAGGGATCTATCACTAATTAGCTATATAACTTTGAACAAATGACCTCTCCTTTGAGCAGGTGCTTCAACGATAAAATGCAGGTGGTGCAGATAAGCAACTCTCTAAGGTCATTTCTTTCTCTGATAGTCTGAGATTTTACTATATAAAGATGAAAGTTATGCATTGTGTTAAATGTTTCAGAGCCAAACTGAAATATTAAGATGGGAATAAGATGACTGTTTCTATTAGGAAAACTCAACTGAACTTAATAAGAATATTTTTCTAGTTTTTGAAAAAAGAAAAAAGAACTTAAATATTTATTCATTGCAATTTATAGCTTTTCATAAGAAGCATCCAGAGAAACGAGTAATAGCAAGTAAATGTTAACCTAAGACTTTTGTTTAAGCTCTAAGGATTTTTATGTGTATTCGTGTATGACAGCATATGTGTATACAGATGTAGGCTGCCCATACGGTCTTTAAGAGGGTACCAGCGTTGGAGTTACATGCAGTTGTGAGCCACCATATGGGTGTTGGAAACTGAAACTTGGTTCTCTGAAATAGCAGCAAGCACTCTTAATGACTGAGTTATCTTTGCTGTTTTCTTTTTCTCTCTTTTGTATGTGTGTCTGGGTGTAGGTGGCTGTCTGCCATGGTGGATGTGCAGAGGCAGAGGATAATCTTTGGGTGTTGGTGGGCCTTCACCTTCCCACCTTGTTTAGTATGTTGTCTCTACCATAATACATAAGCTAAATTAGTTGACCCCAAGCTTCACAACATTCTCCTATCCATTTCTTGTTTCCTGTTGGCATTCTGGGATTACAGATACTTGGGCTAGTGCACTCAGCTTTTATGTGGGTTCTGGGGATCTGAACTCAGGTTGTCAAGCTTATTTGGCTAGCTCTTTTCTTCACTGATGGCTACTTAAAAAAAAAAAGAGATCTGACTAAAATGGTATCTGTTGAATATTTCTCCATTTTCTTATATCTCTAATAGCAATTACATACAATCTATTTCATTTCTCCTCTTCTCTTATTCAACATCTAAGTAATCAGAAATAAAACAATGATTTAGGTCTAATGGGAACAATACATGCAGCTAAGGCTAGGGTGGCAGTTTCCATTCAGAGAGCTCAAAATATAAATTTTACCTACTAAAATAAAACAAAAAAAACATTTTAAATAAAAAACAACAAAATATCTTAACAACACAGCTAAATCACATTATAATCACTTACTACACTCATCTTATACCTCTAACCCTAATTAAAGGAAGAGGCAAACATCTAAGAGGAAAGAGAATACTACTAAGCCATTTATCAAATAAATATTTATTTGATAAATAACTTTCACAAAACACCTTCACAAAACACTAAACACTTTCACAAAAATTTTGATTAACACAGTAAACTACAAATGAAATTAACTATTGATTACAAAATAACTTCAAATTTCACATGACTAATATGTAGTAAAAAGAGGTGGTCACATCAAAATCCTAGAGTAAGCTTTATATAGAAAAAGAGCATCAATACACAGATACAACTTTCGGATGTGGTGATTTGGATTTGCTTATATTTTGATCTTCCAAGTGAGCAATTTTTGCACAACTGTATTTGAAAGGATCCAGTGTTTTTTGTTGTTGTTGTTTTGTCTTTAAAGTGTGATCTCAGACCAACTCTGGTAAGTCTCCAACCTTTTGATTAGAGTTGCAGTGCTGTGATTTTAAGAACCCCAATCAACAGCATTTTCTAAACAATTCCTAAAATAAACTTGTTAGCCACATCAGCTTCATGAATTCAATTTTGCAACTCATGAAGAAAAAAAAAGTCTTGCTTAACTCTGAGCACACAGATTTTAAGAGTTTTAATGAACCAAGGCTCTCAGAAGAGGAAAAGCCTTATATTAAAATAATTCAGTCCTTGAATCCTTAGCTAAGAAGTAGATTAAACAGGCAGTCATTTACTTAATTCTGTTAATTTCTATTTAAATTTGCAATTAAAATAACATCACTTACCATAGCAGTCAACAGAGGTTAGGAAAATCTAACAATACTCTTTCTCTTAGAAAATACAACAAAAAGTCTAAATTGTAACAGTTTCACTCTCGAATTGTTCTCTTCTATAGTAAAATAGACCAGTCTCTACAACAGGTCTATCAGGATAACCATTTAAGGTAAATCCTGTGTTCTACAAAGCATTTCAGCTTTTGATTTTTTTTCATATTGATTGTTACATAAGTTGTTAAAAGTATTTAAACAACTGCTTTTGTCAGTATGTTACAATTTCCAAGAGGTTTTAAGGATCTTGAGAAAATATTTTTAATATTTTTACTACCATTACTAGTCAAGAAAACAAACAAAACAAACAAAGACTTAGCACTTTGTACTATATACACTTTAATCATCCTAACAGTAAAAACTACATGAAACTTTTAGGACCAAAATAACATGAGACGTGGACAGCTGACACTAAAACTACAAGCAGTATACAAACATGCTTCTACTTTTATCTACATAAGCAGACAGATGTTTAAAATACTGGGTTAACAAAGATCATTTTTAGTAAAGTGACTTAGGCAGGCTTAAACTAGCAAGGATTAAGGATGAATCCTTACTAATTAATTGGAAGATCTGAGACATATTTTATATTTCATTTTACAAAATCAGAAATATTTTGCAACAAGATAAGACATGGTCTACCTGTCAGAAAACTACCACTCAGAGATATTTCCCATCCACAAAGCAGGTAAAACAAAAACATTTAAACTTCACATTGGCACCAGAAAAGTTAAATGGCCTGCCTTCTTGGATTAGAGAAACTAAAACTGAGTGATAAGTAGTTTTGCAGACGTTTGAACATGCCTAAGCCTTTAAATCAGTAAAATATTTCCTAAAAGTTCTGATTATAAAAGTAATACATACCTATAAAACTTCAAACAGAATAAAATGAAAAAAAGTGAAAGGCTCTTATAAGACCCATGCCCCACCCCCTCAAGAAAAAAAATACATTTAAGTGTGTGATGCATATCTTTCCAAATCTTTCTGTCCTATACAGATATAAAATACACACACCTTGATTTGGCTCAAACTACACATAGTGTTTTGCCATTTGTATTTTATACTTATGTTATCTTTGCTGCCTTTCTATGTCAGTACATGCTGGTTAGATGGTAGTCTACTATTAAATATCTTTTGGGAGATGGCAAAATCACTTAAAAATCATTCATACAAGCACATTTATAATTCCAAAAGAAAATGGATAGAATCTTAAAAATACAGAGACAAACATCTATAAAAGAATGTTTATCCTCCCACCAGTGTGGAACAGTTCATGTCCTGTTCACAATAAGCAAATTAAGTGATTGGACAGATTAACTCAAATCTCGCTGCTTATACAGAACACTGCATTTGTTAAGTTTATCTGAAAGGAATGGAAAATGCAGATGATTAATTACACTTACATATAGAAATCAAGTCAGTGTACTACAAACATAGATTATAAGTTATAAAAAGGTTCTTTGTCTAAGGTTTCAGTTGAGTAAAAAATTGGATAAATAATATAGCTAATAAACTGAAAGATCCAGAAATACAAAGTTTAGACTGAAACAGTGATGTTAACATTTGTTTCCATTTGGGAGCAGATGCTAATAGAATGCAATACTGATTAGTTAAAATAAGTTCGCTCATATCACACATTCAATTAGGGTAAGAAGAACATAACATGCCTACTGTGGTGCTGGATTAAGACATAAAAATTTTTTGCTTGAATGTAATGATTGTGTAGCACATGGGACATTTGTCAACTGCTTCAGCACATTGTTTACAAGTGACCAGATGTCCACAAGGAACGAAAACTACAGCAATATTTCTATCCATACAGATTTTGCACAGCTTCTCCTCTTGTAGTTGTCTTAGCTGCTCTTCAGTACTAATGTCTGCATAAAGACAAAAACAACATATACTAGTATTTGATTGTGTTGTTTAAACATTGAATCCATCCTGTGTGCCAGACACTCAAGTCCTGGTAGACAAGAAAATAACTCACACATGGTACAAATTCTTAAGTAGCGTGTATGCTAGTGGGAGAGGCTATAAGCTACCAGCTAGAGAGGTTAAGTACAAAATAGTAAGTGCTATAACAAAATTTCATACAATGTGCTTGGGGAAAAGATGAAGAAATTATTTTGGCTGGCTGGTAAGGGAACATCATGAGAAGGTGACTGTGGTGATGTAGTGACATGACATTTAATTACAGGTATCAATTTGCCAGGCAGAAAAAGTAAGGACGAAGTAAAAGTTGCAACATATCAAGGGCATGGGTAATTTCAGAAAGTGACCCATTTCAAGGACACTAGGATTTGATGCTTAGATATGAGGGCTGATGAGAGAAAGAGGAACTAAGGTTGGATTTGCTAATACATCAAGGAGATGATAACTACTGGAAATATAAAGAGGGGTAAAGGCTTTACATTTTCAGGTATATTGAAGATGTTGGCATGGTATGCAAAACAAAAACATATTTGGGTATGATTAGCATATATAATACTAGAATAGCTTCAGAGTTGAACCTTTGCCAAAACAGATTTTGTGAAATGCTGACAAAGATTCTTACTAATAGATGGATAACAGCAGCAATAGTAATAGAGCATAAATATTATGTGCTGGACACTACTCCAAATACATTACATATTTTAACTTTCTTTGTAATCACTGTATACTAATGATTTATAAATTTGGCCTCAAATGAGAATTATTTTAAGTTGTTTTTATTTTTCCTTTGGTGTGTGAGTGTGTGTGTTTAGTGGGTCAGCAATCCTGGAAGTCCAGGATACTGTATACAATTCATTGTTCCACATACTTACCTTCTGTTGCATTTTCTTAAAAACAAGTTTTTTTTCCTTTTAAAAAAATAATTTATCACATTTATTTATATTTGTGTGAGTGCATACATTGTGGCACATGTGTGAAAGTCAGAGGACAACATTCAGGAGTTGTTTCTCTTATTTACCATACAGGTTCCAGGATAAAACTCAAGTCAGGTTTTGAAGCAGACACCTTTAGCCACTGAGCAGTTGCACTAGCCCTGCTAGATTCTTTCACTAACTCTAAAACTTCTAGTTCTAGTCACATTGGCACATAGGAACTTAAATGGGTCATACTATGCAACCTTGGCTAGGCTGAAACTCAGAGATCTATGCCTAACACTGACTCCTGAATCCTAGGACTCAGGTATGTGCCAGCATGTCTGACATCAACTCCTTTGTATGGCATTTAATGTCCTAGAGGGCACATTATTTACGAAACATGTTTGGAAAGCAACAGTTTAATTTTGTTCTTACTGAACATTTACTCAGGCATTTGGTGTACAATAAGTAATACATATCTACACTTTAGGTACCAGATATTGACAGACAAGTCGGGAACACAAGTAAACAGGACATTATGATACACCATGGTAACAAAAAGTATTAAATGAAGGCCCCTCCCAAAAAATTATACCTAGCTTGGATCATATACAATATACAGGAGATACGTAGGAAAGGGAGGGGCCTTGGAGGCTGGAGAAATAAGAGAAGAATGCTCTAGGTGAAGGAAATGACTGAAGCACGCTCCAAGAGACAGAACATGACTGACAAGAGCAAGTAAAAACGAGGTCATTAAGTTTGCAGGAAAAGAGACAGGGTACAGAAGGCCAGCAAGAAATGACCCTTAAAGATGTGGCAAACCTTGGAAAAGTTGGGACTTGATTCTAAGGGTTCTGAAAGATGGTGAAGACTTTTAAACTGGAGAGAGGCACTGTTACATCCACGCTCCAGAGAAGTGTCTTTGGATCAGAAAGGGACAAAAGTATTGTTCTAGTCGGTTCTTAAGAAAACAACCTTCAGGCTGGGATAAACTGTAATTAATATAAAAAGTAAAAATTAAAAAAAATAATCTTTTTTTTTCTAAAAAAAAATATTTGTGTATTAAGAGGGCTTACATTTTCATTTGACTTAATTTTCAAGGTTATATGGCTGTCTCAAAGACTTAAAAATAAAGTTTTTTTATCATAAAAAAAAACAACCTTCAGGGATGGAGATAACTCCAGACAATCTGTTGTTATACAGGACTGCTTTGGAAATTCTGGGTATTTTTTGTTTTTTCATATGAAGTTGAGAATTTTTCTTTCACGGTCTGTAAAGAATTGTGTTGGTATTTTGATGGGAATTGCATCGAATCTGTAGATTGCTTGTGGCAGAATGGCCATTTGGAGCAGCCTATCTAGGCCACAGAGGAGGACATTGCAGACAGTTCTGGTGAGACCTGATAAGCTAGGGTCAGATGAAAGGGGAGGAGGACGACCTCTATCAATGGACTTAGAGAGGGGTAGGGAGGAGATGAGGGAGGAGGGGGCTACAGCTGGGCTACAAAGTAAATAAACTATAATTAATATAAAAAATAAAAATTTAATAAAAAAATTGCCACTGGCATCACTTAAAAAAAAAAACCTTCAGGCTGGGTGTGGTAGCACATACAAAACAAAAATAAAAGAAATAACTTTCTACACTCAATAAAGTTATGGGATTTGGCTGGGTATATGCCTCACCTGTACTGACATGTATAATAAGATCCCATGTTTGATCAAAAGGAACAAGAAAAAGATATGGTCGTAAAATACAACAATATGTATGTAACTTAACAGTACTAAGCTATACACATAAAAAAGGTTAGGATGGTAACTTTTTGTGGTTTTGGAGATTAAACCCAGGGTCTTCAGGTATACTAGATAATTACTTTAATATGAGGTATATCCCCAGTTATAAGATTATAAATTTGATGTGTACTTTACTACAATTCAAAAATTGTAAAATGATCTCTTAGCTGGGCGTGTTTGTGTACACCTTTAATCCCAGCACTGGGAGGCAGAAGTAGGCAGGTGGCTGTGAGTTTGAGGCCAGCCTGGTCTACAGAGTGAGTTCCAAGACAGCCAGGGTTATAGAGAGAATGTCTCAAAAAACAAGAACAAACGAACGAAAGACCTCTGGCACCAGCTTATCTGCTGTATTTTTAGTTGCTCATTGAAATAATAAAAGCGTAATACAACCTAGGTTGTTTTCTTGTTATTTTTGTTTTGCCTTTTTGTGTCTCATATATCTCAGGCTGGCCTCAAATTCATTATATACCAAAAGATGACTTTGAACTTCTGACCCTCCTGTTTGGGCTTCCCAAACCCTGGGATTAAAGGCCTCTACTATTCCACCCAGTTTTTGCTGTGCTGGGAATGAAATCCTTGGCTATCTGCACGGCTATGAAAGCTCTCTAGAAATTGAGCTATAGCTCAAGAATACCAGTTTCCTTTTGAGACAGTCATACTAGGTAGTCTAAAATGGTCACGAATGCTAGCTCTTTATGCTTTAGCTTCTACAGTGCTGGGACCACCACACCCAGGAACTATTATCACTCCTGGGTTTGACTGTGATTCTATTTTACAGACCCAATGGAATGAAGTCAAACATTAATATTATCAGCTCTACTTTTTCTACTAAGCTACATCCTGAGGATGGCTCTGACTAGGATTTACTCCTGGCAATTACTGCATAGGTGACTACTGTACTCTATATCCTTTCCTATGGCATTTTTGGTTGTTGTTTTTGAATCAGAGTCTATATGCAGCTCTGTCTATTCTGGAACTTGCTATAGCCATCAGGCTTGCCTTGAACCCACTGAGACACACCGACCTCTGATCCTAAAGTGTTAGGATTAAAAGCCTGCATCACCATACTAAGTGCTCTTTTTCCTTGTATGTCTCTCAAGGACCCCTTTGAGATCAGAATGTTCCAGGTCCATAGCAATAAAGGTTTAATAGCTACATGACATTTGATGTTATTTCCCAATATTCCCTATGTATTATTTCAAACTTTGAGAGAGGGTCTTTTTGTTTTTTGAGACAGGGTTTCTCTGTGCAGCCTTGGCTGTCCTGGACTCACTTTGTATACCAGGCTAGCCTCAAACACAGAGATCCACCTGCCTCTGCCTCCCAGAGTGCTGGGATCACAGGCGTGAGGCACTGCCGCCCAGCTGTGAGAGGGTCTTATATGTTACTCAGAGTGGCCTTGAATTCCGAGGTTCAAGCAATCCTACCACCTTACCACCAAAGCAGCTGAGAATATAGTTATGGTGGGACTACTATGCCCAGTACAAAAAATTTGTTTTTCACTATTTTAAATAACATTTATTTGTGTCTGTGCATGTAAGCATACACGTGTATGTACACGTGTGTAGGTGCTTCTGGAATCCACAAGAGGGTAGTTATCTGGAGCAGGAGTTACGGGAAGTTACAAACCACCCAATGTGGATGCTAGAAACCAAACTCATGTCTTCTGTAAAGAGTACTGTAATTTTTTAAAGTACTGAGCCATCTCTCCAGTGCCTTTCATGTGTTTAAAAAAAAAAAAAAACAGCTCAGATGTGGCCCATAGATTCAGTATCCGAAGTGGGATCCCTAGTAAGGGGAGCAGGGACTTTCTCTGGCATGAACTCAGTGACAGGCTGTCTGATTACCTCCCCCCTAGGGGTGCAGCCTTACCAGGCCACAGAGGAAGTCCTAATGAAATCTAATAGGCTAGGGTCAGAGGGAAGGGGAGGAGGACCTCCCCTAGCAGTGGACTAGGGAGGGGCATGGGCGAAAAGAGGGAGGGTAAGTGGGATTGGGAGGAGACAAGGGAGGGGGCCACAGCCTGGATACAAATAGAATAAATTGTAGTAAGTAATAATTAATAAAAAATGCAAAACAAACAAAACGTATATGCACCTTTCATGCATGCAGCATATACCTGTTTCCTTTTGCCATGTTTTTTTTTTTTTTTCACAAGAATCAACAGATTCCTGGCCAAGAAACAAAGGCAATACTGCCCTATTCTCAATGGATTTGGATGAAAACTGGTAACAAAGTCAGGTACAACTCCAAAAGAAGATATTGGAGGAAAATAAAACTGGGTCTGTAAGGATTTACACACAATGGTATGACTAAAGGTTTAAGCTGAATCATGGTCACCCATCAACCCTACCAGATGAACCTAAACATTTATTGGAGATGTGGTCATATTTAAACTTGGAGTTTGATTTGCTTTTCAGTTTCACATGAGCTAATTACTTTTTTCAATAATAAAATGTGTAGAACTTAAAAAAAAAAAAAAAAAGCCCGTGTCCATGTTTCCATGTCTCTGTATTTGTGTGGCTGGCTTGTGCTTATATATATGTGTGTGTTTGCTTATGTACATGAAAGATAGAGATTTATGTTAATTATCTTTGTCAATTGCTCCTCCACATTATTTTTTTGAGACAGACTTTCTCTCTGAGCCTGGAGTTTACCAATTGGCTAGATTGGCTGGTCAGGGATTCCCAAGGATGTGCTTGTTTCTCTTCCCCACACCACTAACTTTGATTTCTGGCCTTTATATGTATGTGTTCACATACACACACAGACACACAAACAGAGTAACCAATGTGCCCCTACGCAAAACCCTAATGAAATTCACTGGGTCAAAAAGGGTCAGGATGCATGAAATTAGAAGGGGATTAGAAGGAATGAGGGATGAACATGATATAAGTACATATATGAAAATACCATGAAACCTATCCTTATATGTAATTGAGATATTTAAAAATAAATGAATATAAACTTGTGAATCTAGATCTTTACTGAAATGGATCCAGTGTAAAAATGTTTCAAGAAACTAGAGGAGTGATGGGTGTGGCCCATTGGTAGACTACTTGCTTAACATGTATAAGGCCCTGAGCTTACCTTCTAGCACTAAAAAATGGAGCGGTATTAAAACCACCTATGTTTGTGATGATTTAGAGACTTTGTTAATTTTGTTAAATGTGATAACAAAGTGATATGGAATGAATGTTTGTGTTCCTTACATTCACATGCTCCAGCCTTAATCTTTCCCACAGTGATGTTCAGAGGAAGGCCTTTAGGAAGTACAGTCATGTGCTACTGAACAATGCTTTGGTAAACCAGAGAACATTTATCCCTCAAGGAAACTGAAAAATTCCTATCGTCTAGTGATATTTCAGCCACCCTAACATTATGGCATAATGTATCACATGTTTGTGGTGACACTGGTATTAATCAACCTCTTGAAGTTGCTAGTCATATGAAAGCATAGCATACAGTTTATAGGAATTAATAATAAAAAAAACCCTATGATACTGGTTTATGTATTAATTTGCAAACTTAACTATTAGACTATACTTCTCCATATAAATAAAACTGCCATGAAACAATATGCCATATCATGTCAGCAGAAGCTTCACAGCACACACACATCCCATGTTTAGTAAATATCTAGATTTCATCCAGAGGCTACAACAAGAGGTTGACGTAGTCTATGTTTGTAAAAGCATATGTGATGACGTTCATTCAAGGATGAGATTTTTTAACAACACATTACTCAGAATGTATCTTCATTGTTAAGCAATGAATGAATACAATTAGGTTTAGATTAAGTCATGAGCATGAGAACTCTTGGGGGAATTAGCATGAAAGACCTGAGAACTTATACACACTATTCTGGGAAGTCCGGTTATTTACATGGGGACGTGCAGGTGGAGGTCCCAGCCTTTCCAGTCTATGAGGAAAAAAAAAATTAAAAAAAACATTTTTTAAACTACCTATTCTGTGGAATTTTGTCACAGTAGCCTGAAAAACATAACAGCATTAAGGACATACTTTAAAAAATACCCTTATATGTTGAATGTATATTAAAATATTTGTAGAGGATACAAAGGATGTCTTACATTTACTTTGAAGTGGTATGGCCAAAAAGACAGAAGATGAGACTCAAGATGGGAAAAAAAGATGCTGAACTGATTTTTTCAGTTTCAGCAAAGTAGAAGTTCTCTCCACTTCTGTATATATTTGAAATTTATCATAATAAAAGAAAAAATGTTTATCTTATGGGGACATTAGATAAAGGACTGCAGAGTGATTTTCTTCTTTAAGAAAACAATAATGCACACCTTTCTGCAATGAAGGCTGACTTGACTCATCCTGTGTATTATCTTTCTGAGCACTCACAAGATCTGCAATCAGAACCTCAAGTGATAGATAGCTGCTCCCAGATGTTTGGATTTTTTTTTCCATTGTTTTCTTAATGTCCTTGAAACTGAATCCCATTCGTATTGCTTCTTGCACCATAGGATTCTGGAAGATGGTATCATCTGAAATCAAAGTTGGATAGAGAAAGAACATAGTAGAAACAGGTATTTTCATTAAAACCAACTAAACAATCAAACAGTTTAGTGATTTAAGACTATAATATAGTTGAGGAGTATTTCAGTGGTAGTTCACATTGTCTACTACATGTGTTTTTGTGGCTTTCCAAAGTTGAAAAGGAAAGTGCAAGATAGGTAAATCAGGAAAGAAAAGTGTCAAGGAGATGAGGATGGCGGCTGCTGGAAGAGTGCTTGCTAAGTATGGATGTAGCCCTGGCATTCAGTCCACAGCAAAACATAATCTTAGCCTGGTAATGCAGGCCTGAGACTCCAGAAATAACAAAGTGCAAGGTCATATTCAGCTATCTGGAAATCCAAGGCCAGCCTGGGATACACTAGATCCTGTCTCAAAACTAAACAAAACAATATAAAGACTCATATATGAAACAACATAGACATTTGAGGCAATATAGAAGTTGACTACATATATATTAAATGTTCAAAACAGGTAATACTGGTCCTACTGGGTCCAACAGTAGGAAAATGGAGAAAGACTGATGATGCATGGGTATAAGATTTCTTTCTGTTGTGATGGCAATTAAATAGTGATGACTGTACAACCTGGTGAATACACTAAAATATACTGCATTATATACTTTATCAAGTTAGATTTTGCACTTGAGTTATATTTCAATTCATAAACATTAATTCAATCCAAGAACAAAAGTCTTACTGATCATAATAAAAAATGTGCATTGTAAGGATGATTAAACACTAAATATTTTCTCTAGAAATATAGAATCTTTATTTTTGTGGTGTTGGGACTGAACTTTTCCACGCTAGAGAAACATTCTATCACTGAAACATAACCCTAATTCTAGAGGTCCTTTTGATTTTCCTAGAATAACTAAGAAAAAAAAAAAAAGGTATGTTAAAGCTGGGCAGTAGTCATGCATTCCCTTAAGCTTGGGAGGTAGAGGCAGGCAGATCTGAGTTTGAGACCAGAGGGAGTTCCAGGATAGGCAGGGCTGCACAGAGAAACCGTGCCTCCAAAACAAAAACAAAAACTGTATGTTAGACAAAATGATTTAATTTTTTTATCTATGCCTGCTGCCAAATCTATACCAAAGTAATACAACATAGCTCTACATTTCAGTATTCATTATGAATATATGTAGTATTCTCCTGCCTTGTAATCCTTGCCACACAAAAGAAATAATGTTACATTAAGGAATAGGGACTCACCAGATATTCAAATTTTAACCTTTTATTTTTGAAACATACTGTTCCAATTGAAAAAAGAGATAAAAACAAACAAAAGAACTAAACAAACAAAACCAATCAAACAAAAAACTAAACCCAAAAGAACACCAGAGCCAAGTGTGGTGGTGCACACCTTTAATTTCAGAACTCTGGAGGCGGAGGCAGGAAGATATCTAGGTGTTTCAGGCCAGCCTGATCTTCATAGTGAGTTCCAGGACTGCTAGAGATACATAAAGATAGATACTCTGTTCTTAACAATACCCAAAACCTAGGCTGGGTGTGGTGGTTACATGCCTTTAATCCCAGCACTCAGGAGGCAGAGGCAGGCAGATTTCTGATTACCAGGCCAGCCAGGTCTATAGAGTGAGTTCTAGGACAGCCAGGACTACACAAAGAAAACCTGTTAAAAAAAAAAAAAAAACCAATAATAAAAACCCCATAAACAACTCCACTAAACATTAAATCTACAATGTGCTATAGAATTTAGAAGACATTGTTTATAGTTCTACTAACAATTTATAATGTTACATGCCTTTAATCCTAGCACTTGCAAAGCAGAGGTAGGTGGATCTTTTCAAGTTCAAGGCCAACCTGGTCTACAAAGCAAGTTTCAGGACAGCCAGGGATACACACAAAGAACTGTCTCTAAAAAACAAAAATAAAAAAATATATAATGTGACCGTGCATAAATCATATAACCTCTTTGTTTCTTCAGCTGAAATGCAGGAATAACTGCTGGGGCTATAGCGCAGAGTACATTAGAAAGGCTCTGGGTACAATCACCAGCACCAAAAAATGACAAATACCATCACAGTATCTGCTTTACCTGCATGTGGGGATAGCAATCTACAATCCCAGTACTCATGATACTGAGGCAAAAAGAACGAAAGGTCCAGGGCAGTCTTGCCTACACAGTAGACTACTAAGATGGCTCAGAGGTTAAGAACACTGGCTCTTCCAGAGGACCTGAGTTCAGTTCATGGCATTCCCATGACGGCTCCCAACCACCTTTAACTTCAGTCCCAGGGGATCTAACACTCTTTCCTGGCTTCTAGGGGAACCAGGCACACATACAGTAGACATATATGAAGGCTGAATGCCCATACACATAAAAGAAATAAATTAAAAAAAATTAGAAATCCAAGCTTCTAATATCTTTGTTGAATAATACATTTTCCTCCCTCCCTTCCTTTCTTTTTTTTTTTAAAACCCATGCCATGCAGCCTAGATTGGCCATAAATTCAGAATTCTCCTGCTTTAACATCATGAATGTTATGATTACAAATTTGTACCACAACAGCTGGTTTTCTATTAACGTTCTCACTATAGAAATATCTGATATAAAATAAGCACTTCATTAAATTTTTTAATTTATAGCAGCCTCATTAAATATACTATAATAAATTGGCCACAAAATTAAACATAAACTTATTTTTAATAAGCATATTTACCGATTCTTTTAGTTAGTGATGGTGTTTTTTCAGCAGTTCTTACCTAAAATTGAAATATGAATGGCAAGAATTCACTTTAGCAGAAAGCAATTATCTTCATTTGAAAAGTTAATAAACTTAAAACAAACTGGATTTATTCTAATTCAAAACATGACTATTTGCAAAAGCATAGCCTGATGGAACAGAAAGAAGTCAAGACTACCTAATTCAACATCATCACCACTTTACAGACAAGAAATTAAGGACCAATGAGATCAAATAACTTCCTGGAGGGGAAAAAAAGCACAAATGAAACTAAAAACTACTGGTATAACTGTCAGGTCAGCTCCAGGCTTCCCACAGTTTACTAATGCTCTGCCTGACTGCCAGTATCCTATGTGTCAATTCAGACACATGTTTTGTGGAGACAGGGTTTCTCTGTATAGCCTTGGCTGTCCTGGACTTGTGGACCAGGCTGGCTTTGAACTCACAGAGATACACCTGCCTCTGCCTCCCCAAGTGCTGAGATTACAGGTAAGTGCCACTGCACCCAGCTCAGACACATTTTTATAATTTTTTTTTTTTTTGCCCTACTCAAGATGGTATCCAGGCTCTTGTTTATGTTGGCCAGGTAAGGTATAATTCATGTACCCACACCCTTATTTTAGCAATTTTAAGGACTATTTGCTAAAATGTTGCTAAAGAGATGGCTCAGCAGTTGAGAATATTTGCTGTTCTTCCAGAAGACCAGAGTTCAGTTCCCAGATTTCATATTGGGCAGCTTATAGTTGCTTGTAACTGTAACACTAGCTTCAGAGATCTGATGCCTTTTTATGGTTTCCTCAGGTACCTGTACAACATGTGGTTTATACACACACCTACACAAACTATGTTTTTTTTTTTTTTTTTGAAGGTGAAAATACCAGGCATAGTGGCAGACACCTTTAAGCTCAGCACTCAGGAGGCAGAGGCAAGCAGATCTCATGGGTTCACAAGGTCAGCCTGATTTACATAGTAAGATGCCTTTTTTTTTTTTTTAATAGTAAAGGTAGAAACTATTTGTGAGTGGAAAGTATACTACCAAAAGTCTAATTTCAGAAGTCTAAATGATTCTTTACACCCATTCTGACCAGAGTGATACATTATTTTACTCTGATCTTTCCAAATATTTAGAGTTAAGAATTAGGAGCTTTCTTCAAGCTTTTCCCTTTAATGTTTACTAAACATTAATTACAGTAGCATAGCACGCATTTTACTGAAATCATTAGAAAAACAAATGATATAGAATCTGAAAACGTATTACATAAATACATAATAGTCAACTTACCGAAGATTCTCCAAGAGAATTGGTTAAATGAACATTATTTATATATTCTTGCCCTTTCTCATCCAATAGATATTTACACCTAAAAATTAAAGAAAATTTAACTCTATTAGCCAATAAATTAGTGAAGTATTAGTAAAGACTGTCTCTATCATATAAATTCCATTAACTATGAGAGATGGCACTTTCTGACAAGTCTCACAGCCTGCATTCAAGTTCAGAAGCTCACATGGTAAAACGAGAGAACAAACTCTTCCTGCAGGCCATACTCTAACCTCCACTTGTGTACTATGAGATGTGTACCCCCCCCCATATGCAATCAATCAATCTATCAAAATATAAAATCTACCTATTCATTGTTTCTCTTTTATATGTGGTACTGGGGATTACACTCAAGGCCATGGGTATGCTAACCAAGCACTCCATCACTAAAATATATCTATCATCAGTTCCCATCCTCTTCCTTATTTTTGGACAAGTCTTATAATTCAAGATGGCCTCAAACTTGCTATGGAGCCAGACCTTTAATCTTCCTGCTTATATGTCTCAAGTACTAGGACTATAAGCAGGAATAGGTATAAATTATTGCAGTCTTTTAAAAATATAACTTTTTATTTGAAATAGGGTCTTGCTAAGTTGTCCAGGCTGGCATTAAGTGTGCTTTGTAGCCTAGACAGGCCTTGAAATTCCCAGCCTGAGGCGAAAGGCCTCAGCTTTACTGTTTCTAAGGAGCCACAAAGCACTACTATCCAATTCCTTACCCAGGTGTAATTTCAAAGCTAAATTAATGCTCCTATTACTCACACTAACAGTATCAATTTGAGAACTTTCAATTTTCAATCATGAGTTTCTAAATTAGGAGCCAAGTATGATGACATCTGTCTATAATCCTAGCACTTGTGAGGCTGAGACAGGGAGACTGCTATGAAAACTACGCTAGTCTGAGCTATACAGCCAGACCCCATCCCAAAAAAGAAAGTGAAAAAAAAAAGAGTGAAAAAAGTTATTAGCCAGGCATGGTGGCCAACACCTGGGATATATGCATTTAGGAGGTTAAGCCAAGATCAGAAGTTCAATATCACCATTGGCTACATAGTGAATTCTTGCCAGCCTGAGCTACAAGAGACACTAAAAAGAAACAAATAGGAAAGACATGCATGGTCCCATTGCTGTATTATATTCAAGAGGCAGAAGCTGGAAGACTGCCACAAGTTTTAAGGCCAGCCTGGTCTATATAGGAATGTGCAGGCCAGTTAAGGCTACATAACAAGATCATATCTAAAAACAGACAAACAAACAAAACTAAAAGCAGGCAAAAGAAGCTATTAAATTAGTACCCAAACACTGACTTTTTTTTTCCCAAGACAGGGTTTCTCTACATAGACCTGGTTATCCTGGAACTTGCTGCGTAGACCAGGCTGGCCTCAAGCTTAGAGATCCTCCTACCTCTGCTTCCTGAGTGCTGGGAATAAAGGCATGTACTACCACCATCTGACCAACACTGGCATTTTTAAATTTTGAAATGTTTAATCATTTTTAAAACCAATACTGAACACTTAAAAACCTTAGTTTTAATTTTCTCATTTAATTTGTAGGTTGCTTGTAACAGATTCTTTTAAAATTATTGTTCTAATATTTTAAGTTGTATTATTTTATATATTAGAAACTCATACCAAATTATACAGCTGAGAACTTTATTTTATAGAAGCAAGATGAAAAAGGGACTGAGACAAGAGGGTTTCAAGATGGAGGCCAGCCTGAGCTAATGTGAGACCTTGTTTCAAACAAAACAAAACAAAAGACAAACTATATATTATGACAGTTCTTCAGGACTTCTCACTGTAACATGGGCTCATGCCAATCTCCAAAGAGCATACTTCTAAATAAAAAGTACACATATAAAAAATACTAAATAAAAAGTATACATTTTCATAATCTGTTGTTTAGAAATGGAACCATGTATCATATGCTATATAAGCAGTGAATGTTTTGTTTACCAGAAGACTTAGGTGTTTGACCCCATTTCTGTAAACTTGGTGTGAATTTCATGCCATAGTGAAGGCAAAAATAGTTGACGTGAAAAGTAATTCAAATCTTTCCATTTTGTACAATGTCCAACTTATATATTACTAAATGAACAATTAAGAATTTTACCCTGGATACCACTTCGCATGCTGTTCCCAAGGGTCTTCACTTGGCTTCCAATCTGTGAGCCCTCCTCCACAGTGAAAGCACTTCACTTTATCACCTTCACCTAAGAAAACATACAACTAAAACTGTGCACAACAGAAGTTTTTAGAAAAATGCCAATTCTAACATAAGGAGTGTCTGTTACTTAAAATCTCACGGCTTAAAAGAGAAATTCACATTCCATCTAGATATAATCTTTATCATTTGAAGGAAAATACGTAATAAATTCACCATCTCAATATAAGGTGCTTTGACAATGAAAGTAAAATAACAGTTGTTGTATTAGAAACTACAATTGTTACATTCTTTTTAGTGAATGTCATTTGGACCATCACTATTAGACTTCACCAAACTGAAATTTCTACAAGTGGTATTCCAAATGTTAACAAGAAAATTCAGCATGAATTACAAGGTAACTAACCTTTAAGTTTACTGTATTATATAAATGAAAAGACTTGAAATAATTTGTATTTTGAATTTGGCATTATTCAATCCTAAAATATGAGTCAGACATGTAGATTTAAAATATTTCTACAAGCCATCACACTACCAGCTTTTCTTGAGACAGCTATAGAAACTGAGAAGTACTCTGAAACAGTAAGGCAAAATACAGGGAAGTTTTCAAATATGTGGTGTATAATTTAAAAGTAGATGTTAATTTTTGTTTGGTTGGCTTTTTGAGAGAGCATATCAAAATGTATCCCAAACTGCCCTCAAATTCATACTGATCTTTCTACCTCAGCCAATGGACTGCTTGAATTATAGGTGTGTGGTGCCATGCTTAGCTTGATGTCATTTTATCACAAAGCAAACTAAATTCTCCAATGTTAACTCTCTTAATGAGGTTGTGGTGAATAGTAAAATTCATGTAGTAAATATTTTGAACATACAGAGTAGATTTTCAATAAATGGCATCCAGTATTACTATTAGATCCATCATCTATCAGGAATCAATATCATCTTTTCTCTCTCAACTCTAACCTCACCCTCAAAAATTACATACATAAAGATATGACTCATCAAAGCATAGCCTTTTAACATAAATTCAGTAGGTACATTAAAGACTGAGAATGATACTGATAATAAACAATCCTGAAAGTTTATGTCTAAATATTTGCTTAAATATTTGTCAGTTCAGAAGACCACAGGCAATGATTTCCTTTTTAGGAGCCCTATGACAGCTGGAAAGAAATTTACTGGTTAAATTTACCTAAAGCATAAAATCCAGCTCTTGCAAGCTGCTCTTTGTTAACTGAGTACATCCATGTTCCAAAAGTAACAATCCGTGCTTCATAGTCTGCCATGGCTGGATTTCTTAGAGAATTTGTTGAATTTGGGAAATTCCTTTCAGAACTCACACCAGATTCACTTCGAACATTAACATTCCGGCCCAAAACAAAGAAGCAATTAGGAAAGTGTCTCCTGTGTTCTGACCAGGCACGATCACAGGGTTCCCAATTTTTCAGTTTTCCACCACAACAAAAACATTGCACTTGATCATCAATCCCCGTGTAGTAGAGTCCAGCACTAGCTAACTCTCTGGGCGTTAAATGGGCATAGTCTGGCCAGTTGTGAAATGACTTCAATCTGGCTTCTTCACTACACATGTCAGGGTTCCTTGGGAATATGGTGTCTGACATATCTACAACCTGTCCAGTTCTCAAAAGATAATCTGCATGAGTCTCAGATGGCCTGTCAAGAGCAAAATGATTTCTGTTTCCCACAAAATTTTCAGCCGTGTACTGGCTATTTTGGATACCAGGATTTGTGGACTGTGTAGCACTGTTTTCAAAATAAAAGCCATTGATAAATCTGCAATTTGGGGATATCTTCCTGTGTCTTCCAACAGCTGAGTCTCCATATTGCCATCTATCTACTGATGCGTGACAACTAAAGCACTGCACAGTATCTCCTTCACCAGTATAAAGAAACCCTGCTCGAGCCAGTGTTGATGCTGAAACAGGACTACTACTTGGAAAGTTAGCAAATGTTTTTAATCTATTAAATTCTTCTACAAATTCTTCATCCTTATTGGAGTCTGCAGGCACACAAGTTTTAGATCCTTCAAAACCGTTAAAAGTCATCTTCTCTTGAAAATAGGACTTGTCCACCTTTTCTAAAAAGAGAATATTGCATTAGGAAATCCAAAACTCAAGACATAAATGTATTTCTGATATTAAGCACTAAAAATAATGGTATAATCACCAAGACACATTTTAATTCTAAACACTAGTTTTACATTATCAAACCACTTGAGTTTCAAAGTATGGTGCTTTTGTTTGTTCTCTTCCTTCAATGTTAGGACTGCACATAATGCTAAACACATGCTCTAACACAGAACTACACTCCCAGCCTGTTTCTCTCTCTTGTAGTGTTAGATATCCATCGTGGAGCCTTTTGCGCTTAAAGCAAGTGCTCTACTAATGAACCTCTACCTCAGTCCCATTTTCCCTTTTTATGAAAATTAATATGTAAACAAACAGAAGAATTACCAATGTTAAGCACCCATTTTATATAAATATGGAAACTATGACACAAAAATTATAAATATTAAACATGTGAAGTCATTAATTAGGAAAGACATGAGAGCAGCATAAAATATGTAGATTATTAAAGACTATGCATAATTGTTATAATGAGTCATTACATATTCAAGGCATCAAAGCTCAATTTTTTTACTATTTAAAAAGAAACCAATGTTTAGAATGTTAATGAATTAATTTAAAATATATTTTTACTTTCTTGCTTAGCAAAACAAAGGCGTTATGAGGATGCACAAAATGAGATTTGATGCTTTAAAAAAACAGGAAATATGCAAAGTTGGGTGGGTGAATCTGGGAGAAGTTTGGGAGGTGACTATGATCAAACTGCAACGTATAAAATCCTCAAAGAACTAATAAAAGTATTAAACAAATTAAGTATTCACAATAACTGGTTCCAGCATGCTTCATGTGCAGAGTTCACTTCTGCTGCAAGAGGATCATTCCTTGTTTTCTGTGTGCGCACACACATAAACACCCTCCCACACATACCCCCCAAATACCCCCACCACAAACACATCATACAAACACCCACCCCCACAACACCACAGCCCCACATCATATACACACCTCACACCCACATACACCATACACCCCCACCCCCATACAACTCCCATACCACACCCCCACCCACAATACCACACACACCTACACCCACCCCCACCATCATATATCCCCACAAACATACACACAGCCACACCCCACACAGACACCCCACCCCCTCCCCACACCCATACACATACAGCCACACACCCCACATATACCCACACACCCACATACTACACCACACACACTTCCACACCCCTCCCCACACACACCCCCTCCCCACATACCACACACACACCCATCCCCCCCCACCCACACATACCACACATATACACCTTCCCAACCCCCTAACCCACCCACCCTTCATACACCCCCCAACCCACCCACATACACCACAGCCCCCACCCACCCAGCACATCCACCCCCACCACGCCCACCCCCACACCCCCCCATACATATAGCCACCCCCCCATACACACATCCTACATACCCAAAACTGCCAGCAAGAGAATAGCTGAAGAAACATTCTATTTACAGATGTTAATTGAAGTTACTTTTGCTTTCAACTTCTGTTGGTCAAGGAACAATCTGTTTGAATGAAAGAGAATTCAGCAGGCTCATCAGAGCTGCCAAATTACAACTATGTAATGTTTAAGCCAAATAACACACCAAAAGTTATGGGAAGAGTGGCATGATAGTTTGTTCTCCAACACATCTGAGAGTGCAAAATGAAGCTATAATAATTACACAAGGACAACAGGCATAAATCACAATCACCTTAGGCAAAACAGACAGAAGATCATGTGGTTACCCTAGCTACAAGAAAAACCTGGTTTTCCAGAATCTTCCACATTGCCATAGTCTCTTCAGTATGCTTGTCAAATGCAAAAAAAAAAAAAAAAAAAAAAAAAAAAAAAAAGGAAAAAACTAAAATAAAAGCAAAAATGAAAGGTTCAGATACAAAAATGAATGCATATCTGGGTATTTCTCCAAGGTCGATGTACAAATAGCCAACCAGCACATGAAAACATGTTAACATTAGACTATGTACCAAGGGAATGCAAATTAAAGTTACAATGAGGTATCAACTTTACACCTATTAGGATAGCTATTATCTGAAAGAAAAAAAAAAAAAAAACAGCAAATGCTGCTGGATGTGAACAAAAGGGACTTGCAAATAGAAACGTAAACTAGCACAGCCATTATGAACCTCAAAATGAAGGCTGTTGTTGTTTTTGTGTAGATGTATGTGCCTGGTATGCACTTCTGGGTGTGGATATCATCTATCACTCTCTACTTTGTTGAGGCAGGGTCTCTCAGATAAACTCAGGGCTCACTTACTGGGTTGGCCTAGTCAGCCAGCTTGCTCCTGGGATTTTTATTCTACCTCCAGCATGCACTGAGTCATCTCTCTAGTCCCTAAATGGAGCCTTTTCAAGTAGAGAATGCTGGGGATATTGTACTCCACAACTTGAGTACTTAACTAGCATGCTCAAGGCCCTGGGCTTAACCCTTAGCACTATATAAACTGGGTGTGGCAGTACATCTATAATCTCAGAACTCAGGAGATAGAAAAAAAAAGAGGATCAGAATTTCAGGGTCACTCTTGGCTATGTAACAAGATTTTAGGCCAGCCTATAATTTACAGTCTCAAAAACAAACAAAGCAAAACCTGCTCTAACCCAGGATTTAGCCACCTTACCACTGTGCATATGTTCAGGGAAGTGAAATCAGTATGATGAAGAGATACCTCTGTGTTGCACATTTATTATAGCACTGTTTGTATGTGGAATCAGCTTTAGGTAATCATTGTTGAATGGCCAAAGAAAATATATTATACGTATACAACATAATATTTAGCCTTAAAAAGATTAAAATTCTGCAACTGGCAGCAACATGAATAGAACTGGATGACATTATGTGAGGTGAAACATGTTAGGTTCATATGTGGAAGCTGAAAGGTTAATCTCATAAAACAGTAGTTACCAGAATGCGGATGAAGGGAGATGGAATAGAAATAGGATGGTCAATGGGCACAAAGATGTAGCTGAACAGAAATAACTTACATTTTTAAAAATATTTTATTTTAAAGATTTATTTATTATGTATAAAGGGTTCTGCCTGCATGTACACCTACACGTGAAGACGGCACCAGATCTCATTATGGATAGTTGTGAGCCACCATGAGGGTACTGGGAATTGAACTTGAACTGACAACCCCTGGAAGAAGAGACAGTGCTCTTAACCTCTGAGCCAGCTCTCCAGCCCAAAAACTTACTTATTTTTTTCCTTTTTGTTTGAAGTCAGAATTTCATTATGTAACCCAGGACCCCCACCCCCACCCCATATTTACTGCCCAAGCCTCCACAGTCCTGGGATTACAGGCATGTACTACTAAGTCCTGAACGACAATATACTGTATTTCTTTTTTTCCTGTTTTCATGTGTGTAGGTGCCCAGAGCAGGGCTGTGCATGTGGAAGCCTAAGGTTGTTGTTGGGAATCAATCCTAATTTCCGGTCCACTTTATTCACTGAGACAATATCTCTAAATAAAACCTACAACTCTGATATGTCTTATCTGCAAGTCAGCTTGTTCGAGAGATCCTGTCTCCTAGAATTAGTGGTGAGTCACCATGCCCACCCAGCATTTACTTGGGTCCTGAGAATCAAAACTCAGGCCCTCATGCTTGTAACAGCATATGGTTCAGCCACTGAGCCATTGGCCTAGCTCTGATTACTAAATGTTCTGTGTAAACTAGGAAAGCTATGGTTGACAATAATTAACTGAATACTTTAAAATAGTTAGCAAACAAGTTTTGGATATTCTCAGTGCAAAAAATGTCTGAAATGAGACAATAAAAATTATTCTGGTATGATTTGATGTATATTTCCCATGTAGTAAAATACCACACTGTATCCCACACACTTATATAATTACTGCTGTCAATTAAAAATATTTTTAAGGGCTAGAAAGGTGACTTAGCAGTTAAGAGCACTGGCTGCTCTTCCGGAGGACCTGGGTTCATTCAATTCCTGGCAACAACATGCAGCTCAGTTGTTTGTAACTCCAGTTTCAGGGGATCCAACATCCTCATATAGACATACATGCAGGCAAAATACAAATGCACATGAAATAAAATAATTTTAAGGAAAAATGAATATATTAAAAAAATACATTCACTGGGCTGAGACAAGGGACACTGAATTAGAAAAGAGCCTGGGCCATATAATGAGACCCTGTCTGAAAATACAAACAAACAAATGAGAATGGTCATGATGTTTTGTTTTGGGGATCTTGGGAACATTTATACAGACTCTAGGCAGTATGTTAGCAGTCAATCTTAGAACATTAATTCCCTTTGAGAAATGTTAAAAAATGCCTCTTTTGAAAGATGACAATAAACTTCAGGAATGGTGGCCTTGTCAATTTTCACTAGTATTCACATATATCCTTTAAGAGCTGACTTTTATCTATCTCTGAGCAATTTTTTTGCAATAAAGTTTTAGATACTTTTAGCTATCATTTTCCAGATTTCTGAAAACATTCTGACAATAATGTTTAAAGTTCTTTGTTGAATGAGCATGATAAGCTCAGCCTAGGCTACAAAGTGATTCCAAGACAGCCGGGGCTACACAGAAACACCCTGGCATATAACCAATACATTTAGCCCCAAACTTGAATGAACTTTGAAAGTCAGTGCAGTACACAATGAGTTAGGTTGTTTTTGAGAGTATAAGTCCTTCCCATCAGTAAAACAGACTTCAGGACAGGCAGTGGTGGTGCACTTCTGTAATCCCAGCACTCAGGGAGATGGAGGCAGACAGATCTCTGTGAATTTAAGGCCAGCCAGAGTCCAGGACACCCAAAACTAAACAAACGGAGAAACCCTGTCTCAAAAAACAGAACAACAAACAAATAAATAAATACAAACAAATAAATACACAAAAAACAAACAAATAAATAAAAACAAACGAGTATAGACTAGAAGGCTAAGCATTTTCAAGTCTGTAATATGCCTAAAGAATAGTCAACATAAGCAAAATGATGAAATTCACCTCCTCTGAGGTAAGGTATTGTGTCTTGAGACAATCAAAACATATAAAATTAAAGATTTAGTCTCATTTAACCATAACAGGCATTTTGTGAGGTTCAACTGTTCATCCCCTTACAGATATGTGCAACTCTGTCATTCTACAGGAGCATCTCTCTCTGAAGCTTACAAGGAGACTTTAAGGCAATATACAGCAAGCCTGTAACAAACATCAACTTAAATGGAGAGAAACATAAATCAATCCCACTGAAATCAGGGAAAAAACAAGGCTGCCCACTCTCTCCATATCTCTTCAACATAGTTTTTGAATTCCTTGCTAGAACATTAAGACAATTAAAGGAAATCAAGAGGATTCAAATTGGAAAGGAAGAAGTCAAAGTATCACTATTTCCAGATAATATGATAGTATACATGTGTGTATCAAAAAATTTACCAGAGAACTCCTTTAGCTGATAAACGCCTTCAAAAAGTGGCTGGATACAAAACTAACACAATAAATAAGCAAATAAATAAATAAATAAATAAATAAATAAATGAATGAATGAATGAATGAATGAATAAATAAATCAGCAGCCCTCCTATATACAAAAGAAAAAAGGACTGAGAAAAAAATTAAATAAACGACACCCTTTACAATAGTCACAAATAACAAAAAGTACCTTGGTACCACACTAACCAAGCAAGTTAAGGATCTGTATGAAAAAAACTTCAAGTCTCTGAAGAAAGAATTAGAAGATATCAGAAGATGGAAAGATCTTCCATGCTCATGGATTGGTAGGATTAACATACTGAAAATGGCCATCTTACCAAAAGAAATCTATAGAGTCAATGCAATTCCCATCAAAATTCCAACATAATTCTTTACAGAACTAGAAAGAACAATTCTCAATTTCATATGGAAAAACAAAAAACCCAGAATTGCTAAAACAATCTTGTACAATAAAAGATCTTCTAGAGGTTATCTCCATACTTGATCTCAAGCTGTACTATAGAGCAACAGTAATAAAAGCTGCCTGGTACTGGCGCAGAAACAGGCTGGAGGATCAAAAATTGAAAAGAAAGAAGACTCAGAAATAAACCCACATACTTATGGACACCTGATTTTTTTTTTTAGAAAGATGCCAAAACCATACAATAGAAAAAAGAAAGCATCTTCAACAAATGGTGCTGGTCTAAATAGGTGTCTCCATGTAGAAAAATGCAAATAGATCCATATTTATCACCCTGCTCAAAACAAAAGTCCAAGTGGATCAAAGACCTCAACATAAAACCAGACTCACTAACCCTGTTAGAAGAAAAAATGGGGAAGAGCCTTAACCTCATTGGCACAGGAGACAATCTTCTGAAGAGAACACCAACAACTCAGGCTCTAAGATCAACAATCAATAAATGGGACCTCATGAAACTGAAAATCTTCTGTAAAGCAAAGGACACTGTCATCAGAACAAAACGACAGCCTACATATTGGGAAAGGATATTCACCAACCCTATATCTGACAGAGGGCTAATATCCATAATATATAAAGAACTTAAGAA